TGCTATTCTCGTATAATACTGGTCCTCTATCAGCTTCACTGACTCACCATTGAATTCTGGGCCCAATTCAAGGTGCTGGTATTGACCTATAAAGCCCTAAACAGCTTAGGACCAGGACACCTGAGGGAATGCCTTTTTCCCCATATGCTCTCCCACCCCTTAAGATCTACAGCAGAGGACCTGCTCTGGGAACCCTGCTTGAAGAGGTCAGGAGAGAGAACACTCGGAGGGCTTTCTCTGCGGTGGTGACCCACATTCCAACTGTGGAATGCGCTCTCCAGAGAAGTCCACCTGGTGCCAACATTATATGCTTTTCGGCACCTGGTCAAGACCTTTTTATTTACCCAATATTTTAAAGTTTAAATATTTTAATTAAGTTTTTATTCTCAGTCATGGGTTGTTATGATGTATTTATAGGATGATTTATTGTAAGCTGTCCAGAGACATACAGTAATTGGACGGGTTAGAAATACCCCTAAAATTAAATATTTAATAAATAATAAATAAACTCCAGACCAGGAGGTGGAATGTTCAGTTAGCAGTGGGAAATGGCCCATTTCATAGTCTGGGAGAAGAAATTCTTGGCAAGACAAATTGTGACCCATGTGCTGTCAGAATCAGAATCTCAAGCTGATTATAGAACCTGAGCATCTTTCTTGGAAGCTGCTGTTGAACCAGCTCTAGCCCAGGAGAAAGAATGAAAATATATCTTAATTTTGCAGAAGTCATACTTTTTGAAAGAAAAACCCTGCTGAAAGTTGCAATAACTAACTCAACCTTACACAACCTGGGGCTTTTCAGATGTTTTGGAGTACACCTTCCAGTAATTTTGATCATTGCTTATGCTGGTTGGCTCTGATGGGGGCTGAAGTCCAAAACATCAGGAGGTACCAGATGGGGAAACAAAATTGAAAAGGTACTTTCCCATCCCGAGTTGTCAAGCTAACTTCGTGATTTACAGTGCAGAAAGGGATCTGAAACCTGCAGGTGACCTTCCTGTAGCTTCCAAGCACTGGAGAGTTCTGAGGGCCTTTTCCTATATTCTGTGAAGTGTTGGAGTTATCCTTCAAGCAAAGTACAAGAGAATCTCTACCATGGTACCACATACTAATGTCTGCTCATGTATATAGAAGTGAATATGCAACTGACTGAGGGTGTTCACCCCAAAATAAGCTTCAGGGCCACCACAAGTATATACTCATACCTCCAGGAGAATAATCTCCTCAAGATGACAAAGATGGCAAAATATGTTTGGGGCATAAGGCACCTGCAAATATTTGCTGCGGTTCAAATTGTGGGGTGAATACCCCAGCTCCTTAATTATTTTTACTCACACTGGCTAATATTGACATAGGACATGATGGCTGACCATGTCTGGTTTCCAAGCAAGGCACTGGACCAGCAACAACCATATGCCAAAAGATGATGGTTATGACAATTAACATCAACAAGTGTTAACATTCTTATAGCAAAGGAAACATAAAAGACTGGATTCAGAAATATTAGCAGTTTTAAATAGAAAAAGAATGGGGGACCCTATGGAAGCAGTTATTTCTGTGACTGCTACTTTGCAGAAATAACTGGTGATGGGAAAAATATTTCATACTGTTTTGTATTGAGCTGGACATTGCAACTTTTAGTGCATTATTTTTAGGCCAGTTTGATTGTTTTTGAGATAGAAAACAAACCACATTGTTATTTCTTTGCAATTATTTTAAAGTTTACTTTAAAGCATATTTTTACTGTGCTGTTTCTAACTTCTTCCTGCAATAACCTTCTTGACAATTATGGTTCAGCCCTTATCTCCAAAGGGCTCCCAGGGAGACAGGAAGTACCAGGATGTCCTCCTGGGTTAGACACCCGTGCAAAGGGAATGATTCTTTCTACTCTCACACTCTACTGTGGCATTCATTTTATTTATTACATTTATATCCCACTTTTTCCTCTTGCAAGGAACCCATTGTGGCTTATATAGTCTATCTCTCCATTTTATCCTTGCATTGAGCCAGTGAGCTAGGTTAGGATGAGAGTGAATGATCGTGCAGTCCCCCAGTGAGCATCAAGAGCTATGGGAACCCAGATCCCAGTCCAATGCTGTAATGGCTACCGCCACTAAACTACAACTTTTCCCAGTTCAACTTGTCTACCTGTGTCTTCATAGCCATCCCTGTCATCCCTTGGTCTTCTCCAGCTTCATGGAAGAAAGAAAAAGAAAAAGAGAGAGATGAGGGAGGGAGGAAGGAAGTTTCTTTAAATTGCCACTATTTCCCTATACACTTGATACCATAACGTCAATGTTCAGCTTGTAAGTACAAGCTGAAACAAATAGAAATTATGGAGAGGCCTTCATTATTGTAAGCACAGTAGGGCAAAAATGACAGTTGCCATGGAGCGAGGTTAAATACCATTACACTGGGTGCATGCCTTACTAAAGCTTCAGAAAACCAGTCTACATATATTTACTAAATGAGCATGTGTCCAGGCCTCTAATTTACCAAGTTCCATGGGAACGTATTAGCAAGGAAGAGGGTGCCAGAAGGAATATTAGCGATTAATAATGCATATAGTATTGAGAATTTAGTGTCTTGCGAAAAGTTATTTTACAGTCAAAACTCATAAATCCACTTCTGTTGGAGCTGATGACTATTATATTTGTGGATAGCATGGATTTTACAGCCTTATAGTCTGTAAAAGATTAAAGAGAGTATATCACTTTTTACATAATACTATATATGGAAATAAGATATGAATAATGAATGAACCTGGGGGATTTTTCTCTTTGGCAAAAAGCCCTAACCTCTTTTAACCCATGTCAAAGAGGCAGAATCTCTACAAGCCTTTACAGAATATATGATGAAAATCCCTCCTGCACTAACTTATACCACTTTAAATGATTTATTTCAAGACCTTTGCCAAATATTTTGGAAAGGGGAATATAGGCTGGCACAATCCTTTCTGTTATTGATCTATTACTGCAAGCATCTTCAAACCTCACCTTGGAAAGAACGTTTATATTTAAAACTGCAGTTCACTGAAACTGCTCACATATTCAGACAGAACATTTTGAACATCATTAAAATGGGCGGTTTAAAGGAATAAGCCAGCAGTATTTTATAAGTAATGCTCCCATGTTTGCTATTGGATGTCTTGGATGAAAGCCTTTTCCAAGGGACAGAAAGTTCATATTATAAATTGGCTCTGGTATCTACAAATAGCAATTAGTGTGATTTATTGCACTGCAAAGTGCTTCCACGGGGAGCAAAACATTTGTGAAACATATCCATGAGAGAAGCAGAGGTAGCTGCCATGAGCAGGTACCCACAATTGTAGAAAAGCAAGCAAGGTTTGTGCACCCAACAATCAGAAGGAAAGGGAGGTGCTGACTCTCCTGCTTATCAAAGGTAGGCAGCCTGGTACCTTCTTGGATGCTTTGAACTATAACATCTAGGATGGCTAATGGTTGGGGAGAATTGTAATCCAGAACTGCAAAAGGCAACCAGGTCCCCCTGTTCTGATTTCAACTATATATTACTTGAAAGTCAGTGCTAGTAGGCTTTTCTTTCTTACTCTAAAGCAGAGATGGGGAAACTCAGACCCAGGGTCCCAATCCAGCACAGTTCCCTGGATGGCCATAGTCCCTTTTTCTGGCCCCACACTCTTTGCTTCAACTACCAGTCATTTGGTGGTTTCCCAGCTTTCGTGCGGTTTCTCACTCCACCTGCTCATTCTAAAATATTGAAACATTTCTCCAAAAATTTAGTTATTGGGAGTTTTAGGCTACAGTAGGCTTGGTTTTAAATTTTAGTCCCACCTCTTTTGCCTTTGGTTCTGCTCTTTGTTTTTGGCACTGCACACTGAGCACATCAGTGGTGCTGAGGTAAGCACATCTCCAACATTTCAAATGTAAACTGTGTCTTTATTCATGTTTGAGTCAGAGAGTCTAAACTAGGTAAATCTTCATCAAAAGCAAACTGAAATCAATTTTGAATACATCTTTACCTTATTCCACTCAAAATGAGGAATATTTTATGTATTTATGTGGTAGATTTTTATGCCACTTTTTCTTATGAGCCCAAATATACACTATTGTTCCCTGTTATATCCAGCTGAGTGGAAAACTTGCAGTTGTCATGTGCATGAAGCACCATCTGCCATCTCATCCCATAGCTTCCTTCAGGACTTTCAGTTATATTCTGCAAAACTGGAAATGTCATTTGTGAACCACACCTCCTGAGTCAAGATTATGCTTATCTCTAAATGCTGGATATACCCAGCTATTCTACTGGCTTTCTTAAGTGGGGTCCCGATAGTCATTGTCAAATCTGAGCCTGCTTGTTGAAGGGCAGCTGCTCAGTGTTTGATTTTGGTTCACAGCAGATAAATTTGATATTAGGTTAGATGTCAAGCTAGGACAAGTCTGTGGTTGCAATTTTCCCATTGCCTTGGGCAACATTCAATAGGTCTGCTATGGATATATCAGAGGTGGGAGATGTTCTGCTTCCTAATCCTAGCTGTTACAGGCATAGCAGCTCTGCCAGAAAAATAGGTGGCAAGATTAGCTGTAGAGGGTTCAATCCAGATCCAGGTGCATGCAACTGGGAGAAGGCATCTTTTCTGTGCAGAGCTCTTCCGTTCATGGGAAGCAGATCCTCTAGCCAAGCAATAACATTTCTGAGTTTTTTGCTATTGTACAGCAGAGTCGTGCCCGACCCATCGTGACCCCATGGGCAACATTCCTCCAGGCTCTCCTGTCCTCCACCATTCCTTGGAGTCCACCCAAGCTCACACCCACTGCCCCAGTGACTCCATCTAGCCACCTCATCCTCTGCCACCCCCTTCTCCTTTTGATGTCAATCATTCCCAGCATCAGGGTCTTCTCCAGGTTGTACAGCATACCCACATTTTAATCGAGCAGCAAAGCAGTTGATTAATTGTTGGTGAAATACACATGTTTAGGTGTGGTTAGGCCATATTCATGCTTTTTCCCTCCTTTTATGCAGGGTGGATTGCCATGTTGGGAGCTATGTGCCTGCTTGTGTTAGCCAACATTCATGATTTTGAGATGATTCTGAATAGAGTGGAATGGGCAACACTCCTCTTCTTTGCAGCATTGTTTGTTTTAATGGAGGTAAGAAGTGTTCCTGAAGTTTGAATACCTGCCATTTTTGCTACCTTATATTTTGGTTGCTTGAATGAGAATACAATTCATTCAGAAGAGGAGACCTTTCAATGCCATTACATTGAAATAGCAGTAATGTGAAAGTGACTATTTCATGAAGATGTACTAGGAATGTGTATCCTATGCCACATCTTGGATGCATACCTAATGCACGAGGATGTGCATTAGACTCGGGCAAAGTATGTAGGTTGATCAAAAGCAGGCCACTGTATTTGGTCCTGTTGAAGCGAAACAGCTTTCTCCTCAGAGCCAACAGAATCTAAGCTGCCCAGAATGGAGCTTTGTTGCCTCTCCTGTCTTAAGATGCACCAGATTTATACTAGTTCTGCTCTAAGAATAAAAAAGTTATTGGTGGTTACACAACTATTTCTCAGACTTCAGGCATGTGGAATTTCCTCTTGAGACTTTTAAATATCATTCAGTTCTGTCTAAGAAAAGAAAAACTTACAGCTGTTTTTGGATTTCCTGTGATAGTTAACGGGAAGCAGTGGATGTCTGAAATTTTGCTCAGGTTAGGTACCAGGCTGAAGTGGACTGACACCAAATTGCCTAAATGAGCTGCTATTCTGACCAGGAGAGGGAGGTTCGCATATTGCTAATGTCTGCTACCTTTATGACAGGAGGGAGTGCTTAGAGATGGCAAATTGCAGATTGCCATTCATGGGGTTATTGTTCATGTAGGTTGAACTCTCAACAGGCCTCCTGCAGATGCTATTTTTGGAGAAAAAAAATCAGGCTACATTATATATACTCATGCATTTCGAGAGCAACCCTATGTTCCCTGGGAAGGCCCCAGTAAACATAGAGTGTTCAAAGCTCTCCTCCTGGATCTGTAGATGCTGCTACAAGCTTGGGAGATGGGCTCTCCCCTCCTCTGCTCCCTCAGAGGCATCACAGAAAGAATAGGCTGGTTGCTTCACAAGGTCACAACTTGTCTTTCAGAGGGAGGGAAAGTGGGAGGTGATTTGATGAGTTGGAAGGGGAAAGAAGAGGCTGGCTTATGAGAAATGCTATGGCTTCTCCAGCCCTCAACAGTGCCTCTTCCAACCCCAGACAAGCTTAAAGGCCCATTTAGAGGATTGAGGGGTAAAAAAAATAGCTTCTCTCTCTTCTCTCCTTAGCAGTATCCAAGACTGAAGGTTTCTTTCTATGGTGACATCATTCTTTATTATGGTATCACTCTTCTTTCTTATAGTTCCAATATTGTCATCAGTGTAGAAAAGGAAGAAAAGGCCCTATGAGCATATCCAGTTGTTCACATGCTCATGTGCACACATGTATATATTCTAAGATGGCATGTGTATTTGTGGAGGTCATTGTATTGGACAGCTGCCCTAGAGTCCCCAGCTCCCTGTGGTCCAGAGAATCTCCGGTCCCCAATTTCAGACCAGCACACAACAACCCAAGCATTGGGAAAAAAGGACTTTATTTAAGAGGTTAACAAAAGTGTGGGGGAGGATCTAAAACCACAAAGACACACAAGACTCCACTAACACAAGGAAGGAGGGGAAAGGGAATTGGAGAGCAGCACAAACACAATTTACAACCGACCACAGCCCCCTTGGACCCTAGGCCTTGTTGGCCTCCTTGGACACAAAATAACAAGTTTAATCATTTTGCATATACTGTGATTGCATTGCAAGATATAAAACAAGCTGAGAGCTCTTTTTTTCCTTTTTCCTTTGGCCACTTATTTCTGTTTTAGTCTATTGTTGCAAAAAATTATTAGCCTTGTTACAATATTCTGAAACCGCCATAAGGCGCAAGTGATTTGCATGGGTAGGTGTTTTATTTTAGTCCCCTGTGCACACTGAAATGGACTAAACATAGTAAGTCATGGGATTCTGAAGTCTAGTTAGCAAGATCTTTCTTAAGTGACTAAGGGGAAAATTTCCTAGGCTCTTATGCTCCGGACTGAGGCATACTGGGAGTTGTAGCCAGACATTATTCTGGAAAAGTACACCTACTTTGAACAGGAAAATAGTATTTTAGAATTTATGCTACTTCCGCACAAATTATGCTCAAAGCAGCTAATAATCCAGCAGCAAAACCAAACCATTAAATCAATGTCAATAGTTTATCACTGCAACAACAGTCCAGACAATTAATTTTACTGATACTGTCAAATTGATTACAAAATAGGAAATATCAATCATTGCAGCTCAATAGCAACGATTTATCTGTAAAATGTGAGCTACAGACAAAGACACCCAAACTTCCCAGTGCAATTAGATACAATACAATACAAATGCCAAACATCTACTCTAAGTGTAATAAGTGCAGAAAGTAGCATCCAGATGTGTTACAGCCAACAACTCTGGAAAACAGACTTTTTCAGCTCCCCTAAACTAGAACTTGCCATGCTCCATTGTCTCCTTTGGTGCAGTTGTTTAGAGCTCCAATGGAGACAAAGGTGGAGGTTTTTATTCTCTTTCCCTGCACTCTGGATGTTCTGACACAATTATGCCAAGAGATGTATGAGGTTTTGCAGACTACATCCAGTTGCAGTAAGGCCACCAAATTGCAGTATATAATTAACTTGGATAATATGACCATGGTCGTTAAAAGATGTATACCATTAGGGTTATCAGACTATTAAGATCATGGTCTCTACTGAGACTTCAAAGAATGATTTAATCACAGTAGATTTACTGGTTTCATTAAATGCTATCTAGCTTGCAAAACCGAGTTCAGGGACAATGGCTATTGTTATTAGACAACAGCATTGCTGGAATAAACTGAGCTTTGTTCCTGAGAGCCATGAGTTTGAGAGGTGAGAATGGGCCTTCAGAAGACGAGAGTCTCTGTGTTCATTACTTTTCTTGCTGCTGCACACTGGTAATTATGAACTAAAAATCTTTTGAAATGGCTTATGTAGCTCATAGCAGGTCTCCCCTACATTTTACTGCATTCAAAGTAAAGTTTTGACATGCATATTTCTTAGGAGATATTTTCCAGATTACTCTTTGGTTTATAACATGGAGTTCCATACTAACCTTATAGTACCCCACAGAACCATGGTCAATAATCCTCGTAGGTGCAAGCCCTACCTGTTTTTTGGCCTTTCCCTTTGGTTCACTCTTTGGCAACATTAGCTTTCCATCTCTGCTACCTGTGAGGCTGGAAGTGGACTTTAACTCTGCAAATGTGCAGGAGGAATATGTGGTTCACTAATTGTACTCACTAAAATTCCACAAGAACTGCTTCTCATGGTACTTCTCTTCATAGCTGTACTTTCTTCCAGTTTTGTGGTGCAGTTCAATTAAAACTAACCGGGTAGCATTTTAAGAGAGCATATCAGTGGTTACTTCTTTAAATGTTCTCCAGGCACGTGACCAGCATTGAGAGAGAAAATAGGGGTAATAATCAAGTGCTGCTTTTGTAATGTCTAGATCTGCCCTGAGACTTTTGCTGGTTCAGTTAGTATCTGTGTTTATGCAACATCCAGACTGGCAGATGTATATCATACAGTTCACTCATTCCAAGTAGCATTTATTTTCTCTATTACTAAAATGTCTCATTTCTGTAGTTTCTGCATTTTCATTGGAAGTAAATTGCTCCTGTTCACTTCTGGTGCTCCTAGTTTGAGAACAAATTAACACCCAGCTACCTTTTGCTCAGATGTGAAACCTTCATCAGATAGAACACATCAAATAAAGTTTGAGCAGGGAACTGCTACGTTGAATGCATCTATCTGATTTGCAGGTTTTTCCATTGCTTATTTATGTTTGGCAATGTAGCCTTCTAGAGTCTCCGTTTTCTGGTTACTGCACTTCCCAGGATGTTCCAGCAAAAGAAGACTGAGAGGACATGAATAAAAGTTAGAGGAGAAGGAGAGAAGGGAATCTGTTAGAAGGACTTCAGAGAGGAAATAAAGTTTTTATGTGCTAATTTCTAAGGTTTCAAATGGAGCATAGCTATCAAAGTCTGGGCCAAACTGTGTGTAGCCCAGGAGACCTGTGATCAGAAATCTTGCTCAGTTTATTTTTCTGAAAAGTGGCAGTAGCAGGCTCCAAATTGGATTAGACCAGCAGTACAGGGTGAGGAATTTGAACCATTTCCCCTTGCTTCAGTGGCAATTTGTCTCCCCCCCCCCACTCACTCTCTCTCTCTCTCTCTCTCTCGAGGCAGGAGCATTTGGATTGGGAACACAGACTTTAGCACTCTTTAGCCACAATATTCACAACTGCTTTTAAGTAAGAACGAGTTCTCATGTAATGAATCTGATTTTTACATAGAATTTAACCCTCATGTTATCAGTGTTCCAATAAGGAATATGTGGCTTTCCAAATGTTGTTTGACTGAAACTCCAATCATCTCTCACTTTTGGCTATACTGGTGAGTGCTTATGGGAACTGCTGCCAAACAACATCTGTAGGGCCACACTTTCCTCACCACTGCTTTGGAATCTAGCTTGGGGCAGTGGGGTGGGGAAAGGGAAGATTGCATGTGAATTCTGAAGCCCTTTAATGCTGCTTCCCAAAATTCATGGGCATCCACAATAGATTTTTTAAGACCCCTGCCCCCCAATAGCATATAGAACTGCAATGGAGTGCCAAAAAGTGCCCAGAAATGTTAGCTTCCAGTCAAGCTGGATTTGGACTCTAGCAGCTACAGATACTATGTTGTTTTTCTACTTTTTAATTCCTCCCTCCCTCTGTGTCTCTCTCTCTGTGTGTGTGAAGGGGGGAGGGAGGGAGAAAGAGAGAGAGAGGGTCCAGGATGCAAAAATAGCTCCCAGGCTATCTGAAGTTGCCCAACCCTGGTCTAGATGGACAAATTTCTGAATACAAACAGCTGAATGACCAGCAGCTAATATGATTAATAGAGGATCATTTTGCAGTGCAAGGGCCGGAAAACTGTATCATGAGTCCCTGTTTCAATCCATCCAATTAAGCTGAGAGCAGAACTGCTATGACATCTTACTTTTGTAGTGGGATGGTAGCACAAAAAGTACATTTAGCATGTTCTGCCCATGCCTACTTAAGTCACTCTTGTTCTCCAAGCCTACTTTTTGCTAGGAATTTGGGCTAACTAACCTTTTGCTTCTGCTGAGACTATATTACCAGGTGTGCTATTCCAACGCCTTTCAGCTGAGTTGTTTTTCTGTGGATGTTTTGCACAGGACCAGTTGCTTACAGCTCCCTGTTGTGGTGTTGTTTTCAAAGTCATGCCTCATTGAGTATTCAGCCCCTGACTTAATGGGGAGACAGAGAATGAAACTTCAACAGGTTAGAGCTACTGGGAATCAAGGTTATTTTGAGATGGTTATTCTGTCAGAGCATCTGTGTTGTGTATTCTCTCTGTCTTTTCTGCCAGCACTGACATGTTTGCTCTTTGTTTTTTATTCTCTTTGGTCACCCACTGGAGCAGTTAATACCTGAAACAAAGATAAGTGAATTTGGACCATGTACCCGTCTATGTTTTCTTGGAGAGTTATTGTGGAGGTTACAATTTCCTGATTCACTTTTAACTGGCAGGTGGGATCTGTGAATATTTCACCTGTTTATATTGCAGACTGCACAAAGCAGAGTCAAGTGAATCACTGATAAATGGAAACAGAATCTTTAAATGATCCTATTCAGTACCTTAGGAGAAGTGGAAATGTGCTCATTTTTAAGGCAGGCAGGAATGCTACAAACGCTTTTTGTAGGCCCAAATGGTGAGCTGTTTATTGAAGAATAAGCAAACAGAACTGAACAGGAAAATGAAAGTAAAACACAAAAAACTCTGAGGAAAGTCTTTTGCTTCAACCCAATGGAGAGAAAAGTTCAAAATTAATTTTTACATATCTCATTACTACAAGAAGTCTTGAAATCCTAGAAGAAGCCTGGATGCTGGCTAACAGATACATTCACAAGTATATAAAATAGACAATCCCCACCCTCAACTGTATCTGAGTGCCTGAAGTATCAAACACTGCCAAAAAACATTGTACCTAAGGAGATAAAAAGGGTAGGTAATAGTATGCTGATTAGTGCAGTTGATTGAGAGAAATGAATAAAACTTACCTGTGTTGTTAGATGAAAGGTAATGGATGTTGTTGGATGTTGTTGGATGAAAAGTAATGCATTTCAAGTACTGGTTCAAAATAAGAGGTAGCTAGATTTGAAGCTGCAGCTCACTAATTACATTATAGATATGGAAAAAATTAAACTAAGGCTTTGGCAGGATGGAGCTCAAAGAGTAGGTTTTCCTGAGACAACCTTATAAACAACAAAAAGCCTTGTGGGATCTTAAAGACTAAGGACCCAATTTTGTGGCCTTCCAACTTTTAAAAGATTTTTTTCACTCTCTTTGCTACTTGGTAGAAAATCAATTTTTTGGTATGGGGTTACTTGCTTAAGGTTTTAAAATGTGAATTTTACATATCTAATTTAATTCAATATTATTTTTCAACTAGGCTTTGGCTCATCTTCATTTAATAGAATACATTGGAGAACAGACAGCTTTGTTAATAAAGGTATGATTTATAATAATTTGTTTCACTCAGATACACTCTGAGTAGTGCAGACATTCTGTATTGCCATCATATTTATGGCATTATATTAATGATTAAATCCTGTTGTCAGGGATGCAAAAAAATATGCTTTGGCTTCCTTTACTTTTTCCTTTTTCAGTATGATCCAAACCGAAGTGCCAGAAATAAAATTATGGAACTCAACCTTCCCTTTTTAGTTTCATGATTCAGATATAATCAATATAGCAATCTCGTTGCAAAACAGTAACTATTATTTCTCATATGTGGCATTATAGATCTTCCCCCAGTGTTTAGCACTAGGGGAAAAACCCAGATGCATTGAGGGTCAGCACTGCGGGGGATCTGCTGAGTCTGAGGGTGGTGCTAGGTACTGAAAAACCCAGCTTTACAAGGCATGGGGTGGGGATGTTAAAAATGTACATATCTGTATATGGTGATACACATATGGTCTAAATCTCATTCTCTCTGTGTATCTTTGAAGGATCCTTTCTCCCAAGCACGGCCCCATTTTTTAAAAGGAACAAGCAGGCAACACAGTGAAGAGCATTTCACTTAAAAAGAAAAATGCAGGCAGAAAAATTCAAGGAGGGGAAAGCAAGTGTAAGCAATAGGTCCACAGGGATGAGGTGCAAGAAAGATCATCAGGCCCCTCTACCTTTATTTCAGCAAATGTTCATAGGCAGCAGGCTGGTGCGGCAGAGGCCACCCCAAAGAATGCAGGCCTCCAAATGATAGGTTTTGGGGCTCCAGCCCTACTGTGCCAGCTCCCAACACTGCTTCTGGCTGAGTCCTGTCCACTGTGGAGTCTGTTGCCAAGCAAAAGAACTTTCTCCTGCCCTTGCTATTGCTTCCTGTTTACCAGCCTTCTCCAAGGAGAATAGCTGTGGAGGGGCAAGGGGATGGAGCGTCAGTACTCATCTTCTCTCAGCCTCTGGATGGTGGTGTTGCAGATGCGGCCCAAGGAACAGGGCAAGACAAACATCAGGGAAGAGGAGTTTGGCTATTTGGGACGGAAGCTGAAGGCAAACTGGAAGTTTACAGTAGTTATGAAAGTACCCAGGAAGACCAATCACTATCCAGGGGTTCCTTGCACACCCAAGGTTTCAAATATATTTAAATCCATTTTATTGCTAAGTCTTTTTAGCAACACTGCAAGATTAGAAACATATAGCTAAAAGGACTGACTGCCGAGTTGAATAGTATATGTAGTTCAGTGCTCCTTGTTTCGCTATATTTTAGGAATGTTGGTAATTTTCTTTGCTCATGATTTTCAAATCCATTTTTCACATGGTATCAAATGTTTGGTCTGTGCAATGCATCACAAACTTAGAAATGTAGATATTTCTCACAAAAAAATATTTTATATCTGAGAGGTACAAGTTGGGTACATTTGTTTGGAATGCCCCTTCCCCAGACCTTACAGTAGGAAAAGTAAAGTAGGAAGAGTAAAAAGACCTTAAAGTAGGAGAATCATTGGTATTGTACTCTGAGTAGCTTAGAATCAGGGTGGGGTAAACATAATAAATAAGAGGGCATTACATAGTTAATAAAATATAATATTAAGGGTTGGATCAGGACTAAAGGAGGCCCACATAAATTAATGAGGATTAACGTATTTATTTTATTTATAGCCTGTCTTTTTCCTACAAAGGGCTCAAGGCAGTGTACATTATGACTAACTGAAATCTCACTGCTTTCAGTGGGTCTACCCTAAATGAACAGCTATACATTATAGCTGTTCATAATATTCATGTATTTTTAAGGACAAATTTAATTGTTAGAAATATTAACAGTTCTAGTCCTCCTGCACACTTTTCTGTTGAGTCATTTATGTGGAAAGCCTTGCAGAGTTTTTGCTTCAGTTATAAAAAGAACAGTTGATTTATTAATTGTACTAGCAAAACAATAGCTTTCAGGGCACAGGGGTCATTTATTTTATTATTATTTTTAATGCCAGGTAGTGCCTGAAGAGCAGCGCTTGACAGTTGCTATCATTTTGGTCCTCTGGGTCTCTGCTCTGGCCTCATCTTTAATTGACAATATTCCATTCACTGCCACAATGGTAAGTTGTCTTTGCTTCCTTTCTTTAAGCACCAGCAGGAACCTTGCTGAATGCCTGGGTCACTGCCGGTTTCTTTTCAATCCTCCCACTGATTTGTTTACAAAAGCTGTTTCTGCATATCTGGTTGTATGGTTGCCAAGGAGTCCCTTTCAACAGTGTTCTGAGAAGAGAATTTAAACTTTTTTTTGGCCCCATTGGAAGACTTGCACCTTATTCCACAGGGGAGAGCAATCCATTTTCCCTTGAGGACCGTATTCTTGTGTGGATAATCTGTGGGGGTCCACATGTCAGTGGTTGGGTAGAGCAGAATGCACTGGTAAGCATGGCCTGATGGGGCTTCCCTTCTCTCTTTCTGGCACTCCCTTCCTCCACTTCTCTCATCCTTTCTACCCAGCAGGCAGCCAAGCAAAAAACAGCCTGCACTGGCCAGGGCCTGAACTTGGAGCATTTTTAAAATTAAGCTGTTCTATGAAATTATGCTGAGAGCTGCAGGTTGTCCAACCTTGCTTTACTGCATAGGTTTTATGAATATTTTCCAGAGTTTGTACATTCATTCTTGCTTTCTTAACCTTGCTCTAAAGAGTAGAGAGTCAAGTGTCAATGGCCGTATAGTGTTGATTGCATCTTCCAAGAAGTGCAAGATCATTACTGAATGTGAAGGTCATGAGTAATGACTACAAGTGAAAAGAAGAACGAAAAGGAGTATTGGACAAGACAGCACTATAACCCTGTGGAAAGGAGGACAAAACTTTGTTGTTGTTAGTTGCGAAGTTGTGTCCGACCCATCACAACCCCATGGACAACATTCCTCCAGGCCTTCCTGCCCTCCACCATCCCCCTCCACCTGCCCTCACACCAACTGCCTCAGTGACTCCATCTAGCCACCTCATTCTCTGCCATCCCCTTCTTCTTTTGCCATC